AGGGAGAAAGGGAGAGGGGAGGGAGGGAAGGAAGGAGGGAGGGAGGAAGGAAGGAAGGAAACAAGCGTTTATTAGTTGCCTACTGGGTAATTGAAAAATAAAATGTAATGAGTTTTAAAGTCATTTCTCAATGCCTGGCCAATTCCCTAAGACTGCAGGCTGTGTGGTCAGTCTTCAGGATCAACCTCACATGGGTGCTATGAGGATCTAATGAGCACCTACAGCTAATGCAGATGTAACACATACATACACAGTGCATACATGCATACATACATGCACACATGCACACACACATGAAAAAGAGTGAGGTCTAACAGATAGAGGGCTGGCCCTGGAGCCAGAAAAGATGAGGTTCATCCTGGGCAAATCCTTTGGCCTCTCTGCTCTAGGTAACTATCCAAGACGATTCATGTGGCAGGGCTGACCTGCGTTGGTGGAGAAAGTTTCCTCACCTGGAAGTTCCTTATACATCAAAACCATAGGTCCCAGTCCCTAGGTATGTATAATATGTGTGCTATGGAAATTCTAGCTATTGTATTTATTCTTACTAATTTTAACAGTGCAAAAGGAAGAAGGAAAGGCCTTGAGCCTGGTGAGGGGGTTAATTCAGAAGACCCCTCGCTGCCTTTTCACATCTGACAAATCTCCTCAGACTTGTCACCCTGGCCCAGCCCAGTTTGCTTTTCCCCTGGAAATCCTGTAATGCCACATTTATGAAACACATGCCGAGAGGAGGCGGTAGGGTGGGACAGCTCTGCTGGGTCGGGGTAAAAAGAGAGGGTGTCAAGATGGTATCTAGAAGGGCCTCAGCACCGCAGGGGAAGGAGGACCTGGAGGAGGAATGAAGGTTGCCCTGGGCCTCTGGGTCTGGGCTGACGGGCTGATGGAACCTGCTAAAGGATCCCAAAGGAATGTTAGAGTTTGTTCATAGAGGGCAACAGGACCTCATTTACCCCATTGCTTGATTTCTGTGACTCAAATCCTATATGAAAGGGGGGTGGGGTTAGATCCATCCTTTGGTGAATTTTTTAAAAATAGCAATGAGAGCAGAGACTTGCATACAGTAGGTGCTTAATAAATGTGAATTAAATTGCCCTGAAATAAAACCCCCAGTCTGTTGGATTTGGGGGCAGAGGACCTGAGCTCATGTCCTATCTTGGCTTTTTACTCTGTGTGGGACCTTGGCTCACTCCCAGTCCCCAGCCCCAGTTTGTTAATCTGTAAAATGAAAGCGTTGAGTTAGACGGCTTTTAAGGTCTCTTCCAGCTGTAAATGTAAAAGTACAGCAAGGAAGCCCACAGTGATCCACCTCTCCCTGACAAGAATCACTAAGATGTGTCTCTTCTTCCTCAACTTTCCCCATTCTGAGAGAGCGAGAGAGAGAGAGACAGAGAGAGAGAAGAAGAAGAAGAAGAAGAAGAAGAAGAAGAAGAAGAAGAAGAAGAAGAAGAAGAAGAAGAAGAAGAAGAAGAAGAAGAAGGAG